TTATGAAAGAGTCAGCCGATCAGTCACTTTTCGCATGGGAAGTACGCGAAGCATCAGACCGACCTGAAACTGGTTTGCTTGCACGATCGCCCGTTGATTTCAAGCATTCCGGAGATATCGTGCCCTTTTATTTTTCAAAGAAGGATTCTGCTCCGTTCTCGGTGACCAACCGGGGTATAAGACTGCATTTACCCCTGTACCAGAACCTACTGGTAAAGGATATACTTGTCCTCGAGTGTCAGGACACCTCAGAAAAGTATAGAGCTCTTGTGGGGATATATCTGCTTCCGAGCCCTGGCGGACAGTTCCAGTATATGAGACATAACTCTCGAATCAACAGGGAAATTCCGCTGTCGAAAATGCGTCACGCCAAGGCTCAAACGATCTATGTGATGAAGACATCCATTGGCGAGGGAGGGGGCTCCCTGCTGCATGAGCATAGACCTTATCACTACGCAGGATCTCGTCTCCGCAAAGAGTTATCACAATCAGGAGAGCCACCTAAAAAGCTAATTCTATGTTTCGATGGAGGGAGCCAGAAGCATCGAGCTAATCATCAATCCAACATTGAGAAAATCCATAACATGCTTTATGGCACGAACGGTTCCCAGCTTTGTTACTACCAACGAGCCAATTCTAGCCGTGCTGGTGATTTCAAGGCATGTATAGGTGATGGATACAATGTAAGCTATCTTCTGGAACTAGAAGATACCAAAGCACTAATACTACTTCTGACAGTGGCTCGTAGATTACTATAATGTCGGGGATGAGATATTTCTCTTTGGCTTCTCCAATGGGGCTTACATAGCTCAAGCACTCGCAAAAATGGTCGATTATATTGGGATATTGCCTCAAGGTAACGAGAGCTTTCAGGCTGCCTGGGACATCTTCCAACGGTGGAATACCTATACGCTGAGGGCCGATGCTGATAAGATGTGGGAGGAAAGAGAGAGTTACTTTAAAATGAAAGACTTCCGGGAAAAGCTCTGCAAGCCCATTAACAGCATCCGATTTCTTGGTTTATTCGATACGGTCGTCGCCAAATCCAAACATCTCGACGGAGAAGGGGAGCGAATCTCGACAGCCACGGAGATTTCGAAATCAGCCAGTACTATCTGTCATGCAGTTTCAATAGATGAATATCACGCTGCACTACGTCCAGTTCTCCTGAAAGAGGAGCTCAGCGATGGACTACGTATGAAAGGAGTCAAGCAAGTCTGGTTCCCAGGTAGTCATGCTGTAAGTATTTTGTTTGCTCGTGAAATCTTTTGCTAATTTCAACAGGATATCGGGGGGCTTGTACCGCTAGACCCCGGTGAGGCTTGGAGCCTCAGCCATATCCCGCTGGTCTGGATGGTCCGCGAGGCCTCGAAGGCCGGCCTGTCTTTCAGGCTCACGACGCAGTTTGGATGCGATGAGCATACGCAGGTCAGCCCATTAGATCTGACCAAGATAATGGACAGTGGTAGTATAAGCGACCAGTACAATGCATTCACAGCTAGTCCAGAGACCATATTCTCTAGCGATCAGTTGAAGGCCTCTTTACATCTTGCATCCATACAAGGCCGCCTGCACAGCACCGGGAACCACACACACAAAACGAATCGAATAATCACCCGCGCTTTTCTTCCCCCTACCGCATGCCGAAGATTAACTCTCACAAAGCCTCGGAATCTTCCGCTCTACGCTAAGGTGCATGTGTCCGCTATTCGCAGAATGGGCATGGAGTCATCCCATTACCGTCCAGCCAATGCGATCATAAGCCGCGACCCAGGAAGAAATACGACCTTGCATGCAGCGTATAAAAGAAATTATCTGATAGCATTCATTGGTCTTAACGATACGATCGGACAGTGCTACATCGTTGTAAACAAGGCCGAAGCTCAGTCAATTGCGCCTGCTGGGCTCTTCTCTGAAACCCCCGAATATGCGACGATGCAGCTTCCCATGTTCGTCGGGTTTAAGAACCTACTTTATTCGAAGATCCGAGGAAGGGCATGCTCGGCTTAGTACACAGTTCGTTATGATTTTTCCGCAACGGGCGTGAAGAACACTGATTCTGAAGGAAGATAATGTCGGAGCTACATTTATTCTCCGTCTAAGCGTACTATTAAAATACGTCCTATATACCTCAACTCTTGTATATACAGATTGAAGTGGTCTATTTATACATCTAGGCAGTGTACCCTCCCCGCTGCTGCAGGTTCTCAATGCGACCAAGCAAGAACTCCAGCTGGCGATATGCCGCACCGGGAACATACTGGGGAATTTCTATCCTCATTGTCAGCACCATAATTCAGTCATCAACAGCTTCTATGGAGTTTCAACTTACCATGACCAGCCAAGTAAACACTGGAGAAAGTCAACCCACGCTCGGTATGAGCTGTGCCTAGAAGTCCCGCACCAGCGATCTGTGTGAATGGCTCTGGGGCATTGCCATTGGCGAGCTCCGCAAGACCATAATGATAGGGGACATAAAGCGGTTCGACAGGAGGCTTCTGGAACCCTTGGGCACCGTTCCAAGTCATGTTCTGGATGGTCACCAATGATCCGTTCAGGAAAAGGAGGTAATCAAGCCATCCGTGGCCAATGATCGTGTTGTTCGTCCGCTCAATCACGCTGGGGAGGGGACCCAGGGCACTGGGGGGGGATTGATCACCATTCTTGAAGATGGTCGTTTCTCCGCAGACAGAGTAATCCGTGCGAGGGACGTGAAGGGCCTTCTGTACGTCAGTGCGGTTGAAGTAGTTGTTGGGTGGGCCTGCGAGAGAAGGGAAGCCCATCTCGCTCCAGAGATAAGGACAGTAGTCTGTCAAATGGTAGATGTTGAAGCAAGGGTTGACATCGTAAACAGCCGCAATAATATCGTCCCAGATAGCGCACTCCGAGTTGATCTCCTGAAGGACAGGGAAGTCATTTGGTGGTGGGTAAGTCAACGCCTCATCAAGGAACTTGTTGAAGCCACACTTGTCCGCACGGGAGTTGACATCGGCCATAAATGTGTCGTTCAAAGCGAAAACACTTGTGTAATGGTTCAGATGCCTGACGGCCGGGGCTGTAGTTTTGTCAGAATAGGCATCAGCGCGAGTGTCAAAGCACCATGCAAAACATACCATAAATCATCACGGAGTCATCGTTAATCGAAGGGTCGTTGATCTGAATACCCTTCACATTGAAATACTTCTCATCTTCTTCATCCAACATTGCCGAAGCGATATACGGGATGTATTGCCCGGCATAACTCTCACCGGTCAGATACACCTTGTGGCCGTGCAGGCCGAATGTGTCGACGAAGTGCTTGAACCAACTCTTGAACTGGGCAGCAACACCCTCCTCGTCATCCACGGTAGACGGGCCAGGAGAGAAGCCCGTTCCAGCCGGCTGGTCGATATAGACCACATTCGTCAAATTAGTCCACGAGTATGGGTTTCGAGCAGGTTTGTAAGTGCCCGGAAGCCAGAGGAAGGGGCCATGTTCCTGCAGCAATCCATCGAGAGAACTGCATCCTGGTCCACCATTCAGCCAGATTGTGATCTAGAGGTGTGTTAGATTTCAGAAGACTACAGCTACCCTGTTACATTGGCGGTCAATGCATACCTCATCCTGTGCCTTCGGGTTCTGAGAAGGGAAGAACCAGAAGAAGAGGCTGGAGTTCCCAGCGGGCGAGTTGGGTAAGAGACCTGCGTAAGATTCTCCGACGTCAAAGTCCACTTCTGGGATGCCAGTGCCGTTGACAAGGAACTCTACACGGGACATAAATACATCAGCATTATTACCTCAACTATTTCGGGATTGTCAAATACTAACTCTCGGTCTTGTTAGTCAAGTACTTGTAATCCTCATTCCCAGCCACCGGGAGTGCACGAGGCAAGACCGCCTTGTGCTGGTGAGCTCGGTGAACGGCCTTAGCTTTGCGATGAGGATTCTCCAAGCCGACGGCAGAGCCGACCAGCAAAAGAGAAGCAATAACCTTTACCGCACGCATCGTGAGTGAGTTTTGCCAAGTTGGAGAAGGAACCCGTGAGCGAAACTCAGAATCGATCGACAGGGGGGGTCGCCTCGTGCTCTTTTTAAACGGCGAGAAAACAGGCAGAAACAAATAGTACGATACACATCACCAGGGGTGGAGAAGCTTGTCCCCGACAGACAAGCATTGGGAAGCTTTCATGGGTTCAGGGTCGGTGGCAATCCTTTCCTTGATCAGGAAGGTAACTGTGGATAGCTCACATATGCAGCGGCATCCCCCGACGGATATCCGACTTCAGACCCAACCCCAAAGCTCATTTTATCTCGCCGGCTACTCCGGATGGTACCTCCATCTCTCTCATTGGGGGTTGGGTTGCATGTGGAGCTCCATCGGGATGCAACATTTGATACCTGAAGCCAATAATGCGAGGATACGGCTCATGCAGCGATTAGATCACGACATCCATCCCAGTGTTTTGACCCCACATCTGCAGTGGCCGAACATCGCCATTTAGTTGGACTTGTCCCCTCACGGTTCAATGCAGGTTAGTTTCTCCTCATTTCCTCTTACGCGAGGGCGAAAGAGGATACAATAAGAAAGTTGTTGGGTAATGGGAAATGATTGATGCCCTATCCCTTCGGAGAACAATCCCCGTACGGAGCTCTCCGTACTTGAATCGCTACAACGACGTCTCCAAATTAACTGAGCACGCAATGCCATAGTGATACTCTTACTAGGTATTAAAAACTAAGGCCCTAACGATATGATGCAGTTAGTCAGGTACCCAGTGATCATACCACACTGTCTGCAGTGTGGCTACAGCTCTACCTTCCCTCCACCGAGGTATTATCCGAAGGCGCAAAAAACGAAAAACCTATTATGGATAACATTCAACGTCGTATGACTTATGCAAATATGTTCAGTAAATATACAGGCATTTTATGAACCGACAAGACCGAAAGATGCTAATCTCGCCCCAAACTCCTGGTATAATCGTCCCTTCGAAGGCAAAAGTTTCTCACTCAAAATAACATCATACAAACAATGAGCTATTGGGCGCAATCCCTTCCAGCCCAGACTCCCCGTCAATCATCGGCCAAAGTCGCCGAATTCGGTCGTCAAGGATCAGATTTTCAGCTTCCCATCTCTTCCGTTCCACGGACTTAGCTTCGACCTGCTTCTGGCCGCCGAACCAGGAGCGTCCGACATTCTGAATGCTTTCCTGCTCTTCTTTCTCGGCCTTGGCGACAAGTCGGGAGACCATCGTCTTCCAGTTCTCCAAGCCTACACGGAGGCACTCCGCGCAGCGGTGTCGGGGAATACGGTCGGATTCGCCGAGCTCGAGCATGGTAGCTTCGGCTGTGTCAACTGCGTCGCGGGTCCAGGCAAGACCCTTTTCTTTGGAGGATGAGGCATAGATAATCTCGCCAATGTAAGTCATGAGCCCAGCCTCATCGCAGGCGGAGGTAGCAGTCCGGAGTGGCGGTTCGTTTCCAGATGGGAGAGGTGCGGGATATTCAACGGGGACGAGCATGATCTTAATTGAGTCGAAAAGGTAACGGAACGGGTCCTTAGACTTGTGTAGAGATGGGAGTTTGGGGATAATCGTGCCAGGAGGTGGCGGCGGTAGAGAACGGCGGGCTTTCAGAACGGAGGTAAAGATGGAGAGAGCGGTGGGAAGGTTGTTATGTCGGGCATGGTAAACCGCAAGCGCGGTCGAGACACGCAGTATATTTTCCGACGGCAAGGACTTGCCATCATTCTTAAGAACTCCCGTTTTCACATCCACCACCTTCCCGGCGTCCACCGGTGACCCAGAGGCCGCGATGTCCATAGCCCAATTGTACATGTCGCTCGCAGTATCCTGCAACCCCTTATAGTCCAGCCAATCCGCGTAAGCGAGGGCAGCATCTAGCTTCTGCCGAGTATCAAACCCACGCGTAGTCAGGATCTTCATGTAGAAGACCTCGGGGCTCGGAGAAGCCTGCTCGCAATCCTCCTCCCGCGGCACCTTCTTCTGACCCGCAGGCATAGGCTTCGGACGCGGGTTCGAGGGACCGACCACATATTCCGCCGGCGCAGAGATACGCTGCTTCCGGTCCGTCAACCAGCCCTCCAGATTCTCCGCCGCTTTCGCCGCCCCCATCAGCGCCTGGAAGTACCCTCTCCGCCAGGGTTCACTCTTGCTCGACACATCAAACCCAGTCTTCCCCACACCCTCCACCAAAACCCGCCATCCCCTTGCTCAACAATACCCTTCCCTTCACCCGCTGGATCCTCCAACCGCTCCAGCAATTCCTTCAGATACCCCGCCACCATGGGCCAATTGGTCATCAGCTTCCCGATATCCTCAGGATGTTGCAGCGCCTGCGCAGAGCGCAAGCACCACCGACTCTTCCAAGACCATTCCTGCGGCGTCGGCCATTGATGCTCGATTTCCTCCTGATAAACACCCAGCTTGATCACCTGGAACAGGACCAGGATAGCATAGAACGACAGGCCGATGCGGAGGCCGCGGGAAAGACGCCGTTTGTAATGCTCGCGACTCTCCGTCGAGATCAGGCGCGCGAAATGCTGGCGGAGATGAATCGACAACGGCGGCACAGCGCGGCTGCTTGCCAGTGGAGAGAGGAAGGGGAGCTGTGGCCTGACGTATGGGGGGGATACGAGCTCAAGTCGGGACTTTGCCGTGAATGCGCGAGAGGGGTGGCGAAGACTGTGAGTGCATGGTAGCCGGGTTGGCCGGATGGCCCCCGGTATCCGACTTGTGAGGCGAGGGGGAAGCATCTCTGATGCTTTGGGGTTGTGGTTGTTGGATCTCGTGGACGGTCAATTCCGCTTTTCTGTGGTTGGAGCATGTTGGGAGGTAGGTCTGTTTGCATGGTTTGCAATAAATTTTATTTTACCCACACGGATTTAATAGGATTAGTTCCGTTCGTAGATGTTAAAGCAGCAACAAATTATTCTGAAAATGTTTACTTGGTGAGAATATACTTATGAATTACTCTGGTGTAAGTATATGGAGTTGGTGTTGACCCCTATGCTGTCAATATGTGCGCCCCGATTGCTATCATGCTAGCGACAAGTTCACTCCCATTATGGGCAATTACTCCAAAACTTCAAGTATCAGTGGGATCAAAGGTAATCCATTAAAGCAAAAACGTTCTATGATATCTTCCAACACTTAGTTCAAATCACTTTAACATTCATTACAAAAAAGAAAAGCCCATTCCAGAACACCTTCGCTCTAAGCACGGTCAAAGAAACCCTCAGTCTCAAGCAGAAGGATGATCTCGTGGACAATGCTGCGAACAGTCTGCTTGGAGACATCAACAGTGAGGTGAGCGTTCTGAGGAGCCTCATAAGGATCATCAACACCAGTGAAGCCCTTGATCTCGCCGGCGCGGGCCTTGGCGTAGATACCGCGCTTGTCGGTCTTCTCACAGTACTCCAGAGGAGTGTTGACGTGGACCAGGAAGAAGGAACCGTGCTGGGAAACGGCTTCGCGAGCGGCCTTCCGGGAGTGCTCGTAGGGGGCAATGGGAGCGGCGATGACAGCAGCACCGGCCTTGGTCAGCTCGCTGGCAACGAAGGCGATACGCTGAATGTTGGTGTGGCGGTCCTCGCGGCTGAAGCCAAGCTCAGAAGAGAGCTCGTGGCGGACAGTGTCACCCAGGAGGAGGGAGACAGCGCGACCACCCTGCTGGTTCAAGGTGACCTGCAGAGCACGAGCGATGGCGTCCTTGCCGGAGTTCTGGTAACCGGTAAGGAAGACGGTGAAACCCTGGGTGTTACGCGGGGGGCTGGATTCACGCAGGATCTTAACAACTTCGGGGTAAGAGAACCACTCGGGGATGTGGGCACCCGTGCGGAGGCGGTTGCGCAGCTCGGTACCGGAGATATCCAGAGTCTTCACACCGGCAGGAACCTCATCCTTAGGCTTGTACTCATCGGTGTCCGGCAGGTAGGTGACCTGCTGGAACTCGACAACCTCGATACCCAGCTCGTCCTTGTACTTCTCGACAGCGTGCTGAGCGTCGTAGGGGCCGTAGAACTCCTCGCCCTTGGAGTTCTTACCGGGACCGGCGTGGTCACGACCAACGATGAAGTGGGTGGCACCGTGGTTCTTACGGATGATAGCATGCCAGATGGCCTCACGAGGACCACCCATACGCATGGCGAGGCCGAGCAGACCAAGGACGGCCATTCCGTTGGGGTAGCGGGGGAGGAGGGCCTGGTAAGCACGGACACGGGTGAAGTGGTCAATGTCACCGGGCTTGGTGAGACCGACAACGGGGTGGATCAGGACGTTAGCCTGGCGAGCACGAGCCGCACGAACGGTCAGCTCACGGTGAGCTCTGTGCATGGGGTTTCTGCAGTGGGCTGTTAGCACAAGATCGCCCAGGGATCATCATTCAGGCTCGACGAAAGTACCTGGTCTGGAAAGCGACAACTCGGGACCAGCCGAGCTTGTCAAAGTGGATGCGCAGCTCTGCGGGGGTGTCTACAACGTGTCAGCAGTCAGTATCAGGATCTCGATTCGTACACCAGTGGCAAAACGTACAGCGCAGAGCAACATAGTCGTAGTGGTTCAGCTTGTTGACAGCCTCGATCTTTCCACCGATGTAGAATTCCTCAATCTTGGTGTTGAGGTACTTGATGGCAGGGTGCTCAGGATCACCGCCAAAGACCAGCTTGGCTTCCTTCTCCCTAAACCAGTGCAATTCAATCGTCAGTCATCTGCGTTACCTGACTGCATGCGAAACCGCGCTCCACGGCAAAGGGGAAGCACTCACTTGTCAGCACGGTAGATGTCGTCGATGGTCAGGATGGCCAGGTTGCGGTCATCACGGAAGTCGCGGAGAGTGACACGAGAGCCAGCCTGCAGCTTGAGCTCGCTGATGACCTGTTGGGAGGCATCGAGGGTAATGGGCATGGAGAAAAGGTTGCCATCGGCAAGACGGCAGTTCTCACAGACACTAACCAGGCGCAGAATGTTAGCGGATTGTTCTGGCAGCTTGGGACTTCAATTGTAATCATATTAATTTTTTCCAAGACCTCTGCCAAGGCTCATTTTTTGAGAACTTTGGACTACAATTGGTTTTCTTGGTGCGAATGGGGAAAGCGCAGCATACCCGTCAAAATCCTTCTGGTTCATGAAGCCTGCGGAGAGATATCGGAGTCAGCCACCGAGTCAACTTTCAGGCTCCGCCAACTGCCAAGCGGTGTCGCAATACAGCCAAGAAAAAGCGCCATGTTGCGATTGAGAACATACCCTCAAGAGGACTGAAGCCACCGTTCATGATCAGTTCAAGATCGCACAGCTGGCGCTCGGAGAGAACGATGGCGGGCAGGGTCTCCGCCTCCGCGGCCAACTGGTCGTGGCGGGGAGCATCGCGGGCAAGAAGGTCCTTCAGGACACCACCATGAGGAGTGTTGGCCATGTTGTATGTGTAAATGAATTGACCAATGCAATGTAGAAAAGAAGGTGGAAGAGAAAGAGAAACACAAGAAAGAGGGGGGGGTATGAAGAGATTAAAAGGAAAAGGGTGGATGTGAGAAGAGTAGTAAAGTAGAGGGGGGCGAAGGACGTGCGGAAATAGTGGGGGGAAATAAATGTAGAAGGGAAAAGAAATTGATTTAAAAGACCTTGAGAAAAAGAAAAAGAAAATACTAAAAAAAAGTTCAACCCAAGGAACCTCTCAATTAGGCGATTGAATGGAGAGCTCCAAGGAGAAAGGCAAAGGTTCTCGAATCCCGAGCGAATTGCCTTGTTCCAGCCAAAGATGCTAATGAAGATCGGAGTTGAAGTCGTCAGGCTGTGGAGCTCCCAAACTCTTGGACGTCCTTGGACGACGTATGCATCATCACCAGTTGAATTTGATTTAATACACAGTATGATTTGGTTTGGTTTTCGTTGAGTCCTCTTTCTGTCTATTGCATTCTCAATTAAATTAAACCTCTGTTTTAGAATCTTCTTCAATCCCTCCCCTGTTCCTTGGTTCCTTCATGCCGTCTATCAATACTTACTCTATACTAGTCACGAATCGTCCCGACAAACATGCAACAACACTTAAACCCATTCAATCCCTTTCTTTTCTTTTTCCACTGAATATTTTCTAAACAGTTTGATCCCAGATCGAAATAAATTATCCCACCATTCATGACCATCACCGAGCCCTCCCAACACCCCGTCGTTGAACTGGAGACCAAACCACCATGTCCAGGATCATCAAACCGAGACGAGTCATGATTTTCAGGGGGAATGAATGAATTATTCACGAATACTCTGTGCGGATGATTCCGATTACTCGAAATGAGGATACGTCAGTACGGTTACATTTGGGGGTGATATTACTGTTCTCTTTTTTTATCTATCTTTCTCTGTACATTGAAGTCAAAGCACCTGCGAGATCGGATCGACAAGACGCTTTCTCTCCAAATGCCGGTGAAACAAGTCTGATATCACATTAAAACGGCCGTTCGGCAGCGGGCAGCCGGATCACGTGGCGGGGCACGCCCATCATCACGACATCCTCCACACGGCTTGCGTGATTACGCCTCTTGGCAGGGCTGGTCAGGTGATCTGCACGGCCCTAAACTGCCACCGGATTCTGCTCCGAGGCCGACAGGCTGACGTGTGAAGACCGTTTCACCATCCTCGTCGTCGCATTGGTCAACGGTTATCATCCCCTTTTTATATCCGGAAACAGTGATGCGGAGTGGACACGTAAACTACAACTACTACTTATAATATCTCCTGGAGGGCTCGGGCATTAGTAGTTCTAGGACTATACTAATCTAGATGACGATCGCCCGGCATATCCCCGCATATCCGTCGCATTAATGAAGGGAGACGTCAGCCATGTTGTTTCATGCACCGTAGGCGAGGACGGTCGTTATCAATGAAGTACCCCTGCCAAGAAGCCCATGGAGCCCTACCCGCGATGTCTGTCCCGCATAGATGCTTTCCGTTCGGAAGGCGGAACTGCTGGCACGCAGGATTCATGCGTTCGTGTTCCCCTGGGAGTCGCAGCTCGCGCGACGTTGATACAAGATTCGCCCTGTGAAACATGTCATCTGTGTTGATACTGGGCAAGATATATGGGAGGACAATATATGGAGTACACAAGGCGAATTGATAGGAGCTACCAGCGTTTCCTCCTATGCTCCGCAATTCCTATTACGTACAGAGTGACTAAGTGGAGAACTATGACATTGAGCTCTACCGTTTTAAACAATGTTTGCAAACAGGGGTCTCGTACTCCATAATAGACATTTCTACGAAATATGCTGTTGCAACCCCTCTACGGAGAGTCCGACCTCACGAAGTCGCTGCTAGCCCAAACAACCGCATTCCCCTTAGACCATATACACCAGCGCCTCCTCTGGACGGACATCCCCCTTCGTCAGCCGCTCCCATCCGCCGTATATCCCCTCGGTGCCTGCAACCCCCTTACCCCAGACCAGACGCAAGTCAGAGACCGTGGACGCGCGATCATCAAGCCATTGCTTCCACCGCTGATTCATTCTATCGAAAAACGCATCGGGGCCGTCAAGTTCAATCGCCGTATCCCGGGTAGTAGACGCATTGGATTGAATCTTCCCCAGCGCTTGGATAGATGCATAGGCTTCGCGCAGCTCATCCGCTGTGTACACCTACATGGCTATCAGTCAACAGTCGCAACACGGTCTTGACGTATATCATACCTTCTGCTGGCCTCCAACTTGGATAATCACAACCTTGCAGTTCTGAAGCGTCTCATGGGTCTGCACCAGTTCGCGAAGTCGTAGAAGGACATTATCCCGAGCCCCATAATCAATAACCACTAATTTCGACGGCTTCAGGCCAACCAACCAGGGCACCGCCTGATCTACATCAGAATAAGCCAGAGCCTTCACCGGCCCAGCGACCAACTGACGTTTCGCAATCTGCCGCTCAGCAGCGCGCTCCAGAGCCTCAGGCGAAGAAGTAATCTGCAAGACACCCAACGGCCCGGACCCAGCGGGCCGACACAAAAGGTTATACGTAAAGGAGCGCGCCGTCTTGGTCGACGCAGCCAAATTAACAACAACCGCAGACGACAAGTCCGCATCCTCAGTAGTCCAGGGCAGCCCAGCCGCACCACCGTAGGGATGGACAGGCGTTCCTGTAGGCGAAAAGACATACTCACTGAGCAGATATCCGGCGCCCCAGATCATGGCGGCAGCCCAGGCCATGTTATCCCGATCATCTTCACTGACGACCTCGTAGCGGTTGTAGTAGGTCATGAGACGTTGCCGGTGCTCGCTAACCTCAATCCAATGCCCGCGCGGCTCGCCCGGGATTAGCGTAAGCTCCGTCGGGAGTCCTGACGTCGGCCAAAACCCCCAGAGTGTCGATCCGGGCGCGATATCAGTCGTGCTCTCGAGCACGGTGCCATACCCCCATGCCGGGACGATCCCCCACGCCGATTGGTCGTTGTATGGAGCTGGTGCTGCACTTGGGACGGGGTAGGTATCCCACCTAAGTTGGCGATTAAGTCCATTAGCACAGTCCTTGATAAATCATACATCATAACATACCAATGAAGTTTCTCCCCGCCACGTGCATAGGAAAGGTTATTGGAGCTCAAACTGAGTAAAAGCGGCCGTACGCGAACCGATGAAGGCGGCAGTTGCCTTAAGGGATTCTCAATAGTGACAACAGCATGTTGGCTGTTATCTTTTTTGGAAACCACATGGATAGTCTCGATATCGGACATGTTGAATAAATTATTTATCAACAATCTAGTTGTGCAGTAGTATACTTTTCCTCCGTTTTTATACTCGTTTCCGTCCAAGCGGCAGATATAGACTGGGCTTGTCCACAGTCGTTTCCGCCCCAACTTCTTAGCGGCTTACATCCGATGCCCAGTCTCTTTATCTCGTATGTCAGATTATAGTTAACCAGCCCATGCGTGACTCATGATATGTAATCATTTCGTATCATTAATCAATAAAGAGCTATGACGGATGACTGAAGCGCATGGTACACGAAGCCCCCAATCAGAACCTTATTTGGGGGAAGTTTAATACTAGCTTCAAGTGGATGGTGGCGGTGGATGCCTGATGTTGGGGGTTGTTGCCTGCAGGGTCATAGAAAATTTTTTTGGATCTGCAGAGGAACTGGATGGTGTGGTGCGAAGAAATATTCAGACCTGTCGTGGGTCCAAACATGTATGTATGAGGAGGCATTGGCCTATCTTAGATTTGAAGCTAGTCAGATGTACCGGACAACAAGTGGGGTGCGTTTGTTATATGTACTATAGCTATATTTAAAGAGAGACAATTGTATTGACACTAAAGACGACCGTTCCAGTCAATGTAATTAACATTAGGTATTAATAATTGATTGCGGGTCTAGGTGACTGTTTAAAATCTAGAAGCAATTCAGAACTATAAGAATGGTTCGTCGGGGAACCAACTTTCTAGGGCTTGGGCCCCACATGACTTAAAAAACACCACAAACGATCAGAGAAAAGGAATCGAGAATCAAGACAATATCAGGGTCTTGTCATTTCTATCATGCTAATCATTATCATAGTCGGCCCCTAGGCCAGCTTTTGTAGAAAGAAAAGAAAAAAAAAGCCACCCGCTATGTACAAGCTCCTTTGTGGAGCGGGGCTGGCATGAGATATCTTTTGCACCATTAAATCCACCCATGACAGATAGTCTTCCAAGTCATAACAACATATGTTCAAGGCCTGTGCCTGTGTAATAATAAAGAAAATCAAGGCTGTGTCGCTAGATACTAGAACTCCCAATCCCAAACGCCATTATCAATGCAAGCCGGAGGTGACTGAAGACCATTTTCATTGAGCAGTGGTCAATTGATTCTGCAAGGCCTGAGACAGGGCCTCCTCTTGCCGCTTGCGCTCAAGGTCCATGAGGTATTGAGCATACTTGGAGCGAGGGTTGTGAATGCCACACTCGGTCTTGGCTTGGCCCTTCCAGCGACCGGATCGCTCATCTTCGTTCTCCTTGACAGGCTGGGTGGAGTGGTAGTCTCCAATGCTCTTGTAGCCACGGTCAAGCAGCTCATTGTACGGTACATTGTTTTCTTTGATGTACTGCTTGACTTGATCGAAGGTCCAGTTGGCCAGAGGGTTGATCTTGATAAGGCCAGCCTCGTCGACCTCGATGATGTCAAGGTCACCACGCTTGCCACCCTGGCTACGGCGTCGGCCGGTAAGGACAGCATGGACGTTCAGTTCACGGTAGGCACGCTGGGCAGGTTCTACCTTGGCAACCCAGTCGTAGAGCTGGTCATCCCGTTCCCACAGACGGGCACCGTACTTCTTGGCGAACTCTTCCTCAGAGTTCAGACCCTTGGGCTTGTAGACATGGATGTTGTTCAAGGGGTACTTCTGGCGAACCTTGTCAACCAGAGCATGGGTTTCCGAGAAGTGATGAAGAGTGTCCAGGAAGATGAGGTCGACCATCTGAGGGCGAGGGACCTCCAGCTTGGAAAGCATATCAAGAGTGACGAGTCCAGTGAGACCAAACGCGGTGGTCTGGAAGAGGTGAGGAAGTGATGTAACACACCATCTCAAGACATCTACAGCAAGTTGTTAGTCGTCTACCTAGTGGACCGAGGAGGGTCACTCTATGCTAACCTTGAGGCTCGAGGAACTGCAGCTGTCTGTTGAGAAACTGCAGGTGTGGCTTCGTGAAGACAATCTCGGGGAGATAGTCGTCACTCGAGCTACCACTGACATAGCCAGAGTCCGTGGCGTTGTCCTTAGACTCGATGTCCTCAGCGTGGGAGGGGTAGGTGTCAGGCATCTTTGCAGGCATCTTCGCAACGTGACCTGGGTAGAGTTGAATCTAATGGAAGAGAAAGAGTATTGGAAGGGAAAGAGTAGAGATTCTAGCAAGTCTATATGTCTATGGATGAATGGAAGAGGATGACAAATGATCAGGTCCAATTTGCGTGAGATGATGTGGGATAGTAATCATCACAACACGGAGAGGAGAGTCCACGACCGGTCAGATATAAGAAAACAGGGGCGAGCACGACATCACCGGCAATCGGAACCTGATCTTGCTGGTGAATCCCTCATACATGCCGATGGATTCTGCCGTGCTCGATCACGACATAGGCTGTGACCGCCTGCGGTTTCGGGGGAGCATGATGAAAAATTCAATTCCCTCATGTCCTGGGGAAATCACGCAATACCTGCGTCTTGGGTATCTGTGGGTCCCCGGAATGCTTTGGTCTCAGTACAAGACAGTGCAATGCTGCTGATAAATCCCTTGGTCCTGTTCTCTAGAACATGGTCGAATGTCCTGAGGAGAAAACATTCATCCGGGGTAGGACACTTTAATGCGGTGGTCTGTGGAACCTCCCTGCATCTATTGTTCATGTAGTACGCAGGGTCCTCCCCTTGTTGAAAAATGACTGGCCTGGTAGTTATTAGCATTAGGAAGAGAACGAAGGGATTAAAGTCATGCTAGTTTGTCCCACCTGTCATTATTAAGCTACTCTGGAGTACAGTGCAGTGAAAGTATCCTGTACCCCACTCACTCCATTTTCATGGTGTTGCTCGATGAACCCGTTCATGTGTTGCCACTAAATTGCTGATGCGGAAGTGCCATCAATTCTGCCTGGGCGGTGAGATCTCTTTGTCCTATATCAATCATGTGACCATCACGCGGACTTGGGTTAAGACACCCCGCCACGTGCCGCGGATCGGCCTGCAGCAAACGGGTCGATTTTACAATTCCACGGCGACGTCTTCTTTGACAGCTACTCCTTCAAGGGTACGGCCAGGCTTCCATTGATCATCCTTGCAAGGTGTTTGCAATACCATTCCCCATCCTTCTTTGGTTTTGCTTCACTCCAACATCCTCAAGTCAATCTTGCGAAGAAATGGCAGCGGACAACCCCACCACACGTCCACAACGGCCGACACTGCAGGAATCGCTCAGGAGCAATTCCTTCCTTCATGACCATCAACAATACAAACCCTCGGTCCCCGTTAGCAGCATTGGCAATATCCTCGAGAGCTCCCTCGAGTCGGGAGTAGGATCCTTGTCCCTCAACCCGATAAGCCCAGATCCCGAAAAAGTGACCGACAGCGGCATCACTCACAGCTTGTTCAACCACCAAGTGAACCCTCTTCCCACCGGTACCCCGCAAATTGTCGCAACCATCTACTACAAATCGTCGGATCCAATTCATCCCCATCTCCATCCTGATTCGTCGTCAAACGCTGGGGCTGGCGTTAAACTTCCGTCCCCCACGGTTCCTGTGGGTTCGGCTCCGACAATTGATATTGAGAAGATTCCCCGGGAGCCTCCTGCGCCAGAACCTGAACCATTAGACCACCTTTACGGTCCATTTGTGTCGCAACTTTGCTTGACGAACTTCCTCCAAATCCTCGAATCCCTTCCGACCCCGTACCAGCGCATGAACACCTCCCACCGCTGCCTCGACCAGAATGAACACCCGCGCGTAGTAGAAGTCACTTTCTCCCCACCCCCCAACCCGGAATACCTCACATTCGCAGACCTGCGCAAACACGAGAGCATATGGCGATTCGAGCGCGAGTGGAATGTGGAGGTTGTGCTTCAGAAGGAGAGCGTCTTCCGCCGTCACAAACGGCTCGTAGTTTTCGACATGGACAGTACTTTGATCCAGAATGAAGTAATTGACGAGATTGCCAAGTTCATTGGCGTAGAGAAGGAGGTTTCGGTCAGTCTCGCTGCGGATGCTTTCTTAGTACTTTTGTTTTTATCAAATGCGCTCGTGAGTGCTAACCTGTGCCATAGGAGATCACGGAACGCGCTATGAACGGCGAGCTGGACTTCTCTGCATCGCTCAGGGAGCGTGTCAGTCTTCTCAAGGGAGTACCAGCGGATGTTTTCGAGAAGCTGAAGTCCGTCATTACCATCTCGCCTGGTGCGCGTGAATTGTGCAAGGCCTTGAAGGCTCTCGGATGTAAATTGGCAGTTTTGAGTGGTGGCTTCCAGCCTCTTGCTGAGTGGTTGGCCGGCGAGCTTGGCATCGATTATGCATTCGCTAATCACGTAAGTCCATTATATTCTTTCGAGCCTTTACCTCTTTAGAGCTCTCTTGGACTATTCGATGGTCCGGTATACTGATAAGTATGTGTAGCTCGAGGTAGACCAAGCATCTCAAACTCTGACGGGAAAACTCGTTCCCACCTACCCTATTATCGATGCCAGCCAAAAGCGCAAGCTCCTGCAGTCCATTGCGGCCGAGAACAACATCCCTATCGCCCAGACCGCTGCTGTCGGCGATGGTGCCAATGACCTTCTCATGCTCCATACTGCTGGACTCGGAGTTGCCTGGCGAGCCAAGAGCATGGTTCAACTCGAAGCCCCCACTCGTCTGAACGGGGAGACCATGGTGGACATTCTTCACCTTCTGGGTCTCAGCAAGGAAGATATCAAGGAACTGATTGCTGAAGTAGCATGAGCGTCACAGAAGCCGTAGGTGTGTTGCGAACACGACAAAAGACACGTCCTACCTCAAATGATATTTACCCTAGAAAAGCCTGCGTGGAGACTTCTCCAGGTGCAGACTTTTACTTGGATCTTGTCAGCAGGGACTTACAGGAGCACCGGTTTATCGGCGCGCTTTCCTCGATTTCTTTCTTCCCTAAGCCGATGGACTCAGCTTTGGTACACACGTATGGGCTGCCTGCGTTTTCACTTTCTGGCGGGAGTAGTCGAGAGGACAGTTGATCCTAGAGGA